AGGTCAGGGTGGCCCACTGGTGAGGCCCACTGGTCTAGCACACCACCCCACCGCAGATGCTGCAGAGGCCCTCTTAGCAACCGAGACATGTTGAAACATTGGCACTAAGTGCCCCCTGGAAGGCTTTCACCTGTGGCTTTAGATGACTCTTACCTGTCACATACAGTAGACATGAGACTGAAGGTTACTAGAAGCATTTGAAGGTTTACAAGCAGAGGTACAACAGATTGGGTCACTTTAGCTTCAAGAAAGAACTTTGTTGGCACAGTGCAGAGACAGACTCATCCGGAGCCCAGCATGAGTCTGCAGTAATCTCTGCTTGAACTGATACAGAGATAGAGAGAATAAGATAGACTCACAAATAAATCCAACAGGAAGGAAAATGATGAACACATTCTGCTGGAGGCAGGGAAGGTGGTTCAGGAAGGCTTCCTTCCTGGGCAGGGGTGGCGTGGACCTCCGTGTGCCCCATGCCACCATCCTCTCCCACCTAGACCGTTTCAAAAACTGGTCTCCAGACCTTCACTCATTCACCTCTTTCCTGACAGTCCACCCACAACCAATAAAACAATCTTTTAAAGTCAGCTATCACACCTTGGCCTAGAACTCCTCATAGCCTCCTCTTGTCCACAGACCCTGGTAAGGATCTTTGTTTTTGCTCTGCAGGATCCCCACTTACCTCACACGAGGCAGTCTCTTCTGGCCATCTTACCACCACGCTGCCCAGAACGTAGGGCCTTGGAGACAGAAACTGTACTTGTCTCTCTCACCCCTCTGTCCTTAGCACCTCCCGTGCTGCTGTGTGCTCAGTAAATATTGGTCGAGCAAAAGGTTGGAGCTCAGAAGTGACCAGAGTCTGGACCAGGATGGTCCCAAGGGCTCCATGGACACGTAATACTCTGCCTGGGTGCTGGAGGGTGAGGAGTGTGTCTAGTTGGAGCCTGGGCTTCCCACTACCTCCCTTTCCTGTCCTTTACTTGGCCAGTTTCAATGAGACATTCCAGTTTCTGTTCTGGACCATGTTTGGCATGGAGGAGCACAAAGTGGTGGACATGCCTCAGTTTCTGGTGCCTGAATTCGTGGGCCGGGCCCTGTATGGCATCTTTACCATCGTCATGGTCATTGTGCTGCTCAACATGCTCATTGCCATGATCACCAACTCCTTCCAGAAGATTGAGGTACGTGACACTGAGGCCAGATGAATGCTGGGAGATGAGTGAGAAGGGACCAGAGGGCAACAGAGTACAAAGAGCAGAGACACCCAGTTTCCTGCTCTGCTTCTGCTGTTGTCTTATTTTGTGACCTTGTTCCAATTTTCCTCTGTAAAATGAGGGTCTTAGTCGTGCTAGTGTCTGTGGCTACCAGGTGCAGTGCTCTTTCCACATTTTGCAAAGTAACCTGGAAGAGTAGATGGCAAAACAAGAGAGGAGGGGGGTTGGGGCTGGTGAGATGGCTCAGTGGTCTAAAGCACCTACTTAGAACAAGCTTAGCAAAGCACAGGGACCATGGTTCAATCCCCCAGCACCACATGCCAGCCAGCCCCGCCCCTGGTGGGCTGAGCTGGCCACACACACACACACACACACACACATAAATAAATAAAATTAAAAAAAAAGAGAGAGAAAGAGAGGAGAGGGAAGGAAGAGGAGGGGTTAGCTTGGCCAGAACTAGAAGGCAGGGGACAAAAGATAATGGGCGGAGGCAGAAAGGGGCGAAGCAGTGTGTGGGCAATAGATGAGGCTGGAGATGAGGAGGGGAAGAGCATGGCTCGTACACTGGGGAAAAAGTCCGACTGGGTGAGCAAGGGGGCCAGGCGTCGCAGCAGTCATGCAGCCCCTTCCTCTGGCCCCAGGATGACGCTGATGTGGAGTGGAAGTTTGCTCGCTCTAAGCTCTACCTGTCCTACTTCCGAGAGGGCCTGACTCTTCCTGTGCCCTTCAACATCCTGCCCTCCCCCAAGGCCTTCTTCTACCTTCTTAGGTAATGACCCCAGGGCTCTCATCCCAGCTCCTGCCCCATTTCCTCAGCCCTGTTCCCTGACTAACCTTCCTACCATCGAAATCTCTCAGGAGAATTTTCCGGCTCATCTGTTGTTGCTGTTCCTGCTGCAGAACCAAGAAGCCAGACTACCCCCCAATCCCCACCTTTGTAAGTACCTCACTTGTTTGCTGTTGGTCTCCCCCACACCAGCCTCAACTGCATTCCCCGCACTACCCAGTTATATGCGTGTGTCTTTCCAGCTGTGTTCCCCAGAAAGGCTGTTCCCAGTTCCCACTCTCTCATGTGCTTCCGATTTCCTTCTTCCTGGCTCTGGCCATTTCCTAAATTTCTAATCCTGTGCCATGCAGCCTAAACAACAGTCCATGCCCCCCCCCCAAACCACAGGTACCCTCTAAGCTTCAGATGAACTGTGCCAAGGTTGGAGGACCAGAGCTCTAGCTTAGTGGCACAGCACCTGCCTGGCAAGTGTGAGGTCCTAAGTTCAGTTCCTTTTACCAATAATATATATATATGGTGGAATTTTTCCAAAAACATTAAAAAGTCAAGGTTAAATGCCCACCATTTGAGAAATTAAAAGCCTGACAAAAGCCTGAGACAGGAGGGTGTGCATCTAAGCCCACTCACTTACCTCTCAATATCTGCTCCCTAATCCAGTGGCTGGGCATGACTGCCCCTACTTAATTCAGATCAGTGTGACTACCAGGTGTGTACAGGGTTATCCCTTCTCTCCTCCACCTCAAGCCTTTACCTCTGCCCCTTGGCTCTCTCAGTCAGGTCTTCCCTAACTTCTGGTCCCTTTCCTTCTGCTTCCCAGGGCTCCACTGTGAGATAGAGGTACACCAGCATCTAGGTCTGTGGCCTATAGGGACCAAAATGTCTGCACAGACTTTTCCTTGGTCTTTCGTTGCCAGAACTGGACAGTGATTAGAGGAAGGCTGGGGGTGGAGAATCTCCCTCACCCTCCTGTCTTCCCATTTAGGCCAACCCAGGGGCTGGGGCTGGCACCAGGCCTGGGGAGGCAGAGCGAGGATCCTACCGCCTTCGTGTCATCAAGGCTCTGGTGCAGCGCTACATAGAAACAGCCCGGCGTGAGTTTGAGGAGACCCGACGGAAAGGTTAGTCATTCATCTCCAGTCCTGTTGCTTGATCAAGTAAGATAAATTCCACCCAGACCACACCCCTCCCTCCACCTGGACCCTGCCCTTGGAAACCGTAACCTGCATAGTGTGGTCCCTCACACTCAGTGACCCTGTGACCCCTTCGAGTATTTATTCATATACTTCATTTCCTTATATTTCCTGCCTTGGCCCCTGTATTCATTTATTCTCTCATTCACTCATGCACTTATTTACTCATTTCTCCAGCATGCATTGCTGTGCCCTCCCTTGTTCCGGGGTGTGCCTTGGAGGGGGCTGACACAGAGTGAGGCTTGCAGTACAGAGAGAAATGACCAGACATCATGCTGGACAGGAAGGGCTCACCTGGGAGACACAGGCTGGAGAGAGCCCAGAGGACAGAAAGAGCCATGGTTCTGAGGGGACTGGGCCGGGAGAAGTTGGAGAAAGGCCAAGTAGAATGTGAAGTGGGCCTGAAGGATGGACGGGTAGGAGCTCTCAGGGACTGGCCTGGGGAGGTGAGAGCGCTGCAAGGGTGAATGTGCAGATCTCCACTCATTAAGCACTCCCACGTGACTCCCCACCCTCCTCTGGCCCCAAGACTGTCTTTACACCACCCAAAGTCACCTCCTTCCCACCACTACTCAGATCTATCAGCCCCAGATTCTGCGCCCCACCCAACCCCTCATCCTTCCCAGTCCCCCTACCTCAAAACCCCCAGACAGTGTCCCTGGAGTTCTGACAAGGGTAGCAGTACTGGGTTTTCTGAAAGACCTCCTCTCAATGCTCCTCCTCCCCAGATTTGGGCAACAGACTGACAGAGCTGACCAAGACCGTGTCGCGGCTGCAAAGTGAAGTGGCCAGTGCACGGCGGACCCTGGAGGCAGGAGGGATACCCCGGCCTCCTGATGGTGCAAGCATTCTCAGCCGCTACATCACCCGAGTACGCAACAGCTTCCAGAACCTGGCCCCCCCAGTTGCCGAGACCCCAGAGCTGATCATCCCAGGGACTGTGGGGACCCAAGACTCTTCAGAAAGTGGGGTGCAAGCTGCAGGCGAGGCTGGGACTCCAGCTTCTGGAGAGGATGGGCTCTCCTCCTCTACTCATGTGCTGGTGCACAGGGAGCAAGAAGTAGAGGGGACCAGGGACCTGTACCCAGAGAAGGATTCAGAGACCGAGAGGGGCTCCTAAACACAGTGCGAAGTGCAACAGCCCAGTTGAGTGGGGTGAGGGTTAGTAGGAGCCTCTGCTGCTTTCTTGCCCAAATAAAGATCCTGACACGGATGGTGGATGGCTCTAGAGCAGATGAGAACCCGTGTGTGTGTGTGTGTGTGTGTGTGTGTGTGTGTGTGTGTATTTTACATAAGGGTCTACAGGGTGTTTAGGGTCTCACTACTAGATCGGATTTGTAGTGAGAATCCCTATCTCTCAATGTTTTCAAGTCCACTCCTGCCCCTCAGTGGACCCTGTGTGAGCGGAGCAAAGAGAAACAGCGTGCTCTGGGGTTCCAGGGGTCTTGGGCTCAGAATCTTATTTTGGGCTTCCTCAAATCTTCAGTAGAAACAGTTCTGAGCTAGGGAGCAGCAGGCTCGGGAAAGAAGATGCCTGGTGTCTGACCCTGAGCAAGCTGTGTCCTTCCTCAGCCTTGCATTCCTCAGTAGTCACAGACATGCTGAGGAACCCTTCTGTCCCCTTCCCACCTTCCTGGTTGTGAGGACTCGCTAGTTATTAAGAGCTTCTCAGTTTGCAAGCTACAGCTTGTGACAGGGGACTTTGTTTGAGGTTATCAGGAAGTTACTTTTTAATTCTTCAGGCATGAGCCTGGCAAGGGCAGGCGGTCCAGTATCAGAGAATGAGCCAGTCATGAAATTCCATGTCTCCACACTCAGCACTGTTTAATGGAGTGGCCACCACAGTACTTCCCCTGCTTGTCCCAGAAAGTCCCCACCATACAGTGGGACTCCCTCAACCCTGCTATGGCCTCAGGTCTCCCCAAACCTGGACTGGGGAGATGGCTGCTTGGGCTAGGTCCGAAAGCATGCTCTTGCTTCTTGAGGCCATTCGAAGCCCCTCTTCTTCACATGAAGCTCACCAGTTCCCAGGATCCCTGAGTGACAGTGTTGGGCTTTCAGGGCCCAGCTCCTGAGAGCTGGAACCTCCCAGGGCCCAAGAATGGGGTCTTCCAGGAGAGCAGAGGGAATGCCCCTTCATAGGATGACTCCGACTGCCCAACTGCTAGAGAAAGAAGAAAAAACAGTGAAAGGGGTCAGTTGGGGAATTGAAGCAGCTGACAGAGGATGCAGGAAGGTGACCCACCTGGTATAGATACACAGTCCCGCCTCTTCTGCCCTGCAATAGACAGCTCGGTGAGACATGTACCTGGGGTCCTTCCCACCAGGCCAGGACGTGGGAGGGGTCCCCCTCTCCATCTTTCCTTTCACCTAAAAACAAACTTCTGACTTCCCTTTCCCCTCCCCTCCCCAGGAAGTCCTTTCCCACTACCTATCCATCCCTGCTCCCACCCACACCCAGTTACTCTTCCATTCAATCCCTTCCTCAGCCCTTGGGAACAGAGCGTTTGGGTCCTGTCAACCCCATTGAGCCCAGGGCTTTCTGAAACCTAAAGCTGGCTGTACTCTTGACTCTTTACTCTGTTATACAACTTCCTTAACCAGGCTCCTTCGGTCTAGGAGACTGTGTAACAGATGGAACTTTTTGAAAACATAGAGCCTCATCTGGGATTATTCAGGGACCTAGAAAAACACTTATAGGACCTGGCAGACTGATTCTCAGAGGACAACGGTAGCTCACTACCAGCATCCAACTTTCACCATAAAGCAAGCAGGTCTGGGAAGGCTCTGGGGACCACGTGGGGACCTCCTGGCCTGTCTGACCCACCCTGCCAGTCCTGCATGCCCCGTGCACAGCTCACCACCCAGATATGCGCAGTTAAAGTGGCTGCAGGTTTGGTTATAGCTCCAGAGAGTCACTATGTTCCGGGTACCATCGTGGGAGAACCCAGTGACCAAGAAGACTTCATGGGGGGGTATCAGCACTTCACGCTCTTCAGGGAAGACAGACAAGGCCTGGATAGAGGCCCCAAAGCAAGTCCTTAGAGAGAAGAAGGTGGCATTACCAAACCTGCGTGCCACTGCCTCATCCAGGGAGCTGGAGGCAAACTGGCCAAAGCGGACCAAGTCCCCAAGCCTCCTGGGTTCAAACTGAAGGCTGCCCACACCTCGAAACACCACTGCCCCAGGTTCCCTGCTGCAGCCTCCATGGCCGCGAAGCAGCTGCAGGGCTTGGGTCAGGTAGAAATGCAGGGCCTTGAAGGGGAAGTGCCTCAGGTAGTGCTCCCGGGAGCCACCACCTGTGCGCACAGCTTGGTTTAGCTCCCAGTACAAGGTGTTAGATGAGTTGGTATAGACCATAATGGCTATTCCATGCTGGGCTTTGAAGCCAGGGGGCAGAGTGAGCCCTCGACGCCGGTGCTCCCAGGCCTCCTGGGCTGCCTCCCAGGACTCCCGCAGCAGGGCATGGTGGGCCATCTCCTCTTTTAGCAGGGCAGCTGCCTTCTCTTCCATGACCTCCGAGCAGCCCACATAGGCATCATCGAAGGTATCTGGAGCCAGGCCCAGGGGCAGGATGGGAACAGCCTGGGCCTATGGATGTAGGGAAGAGAGGAGCCACAACAGGAAAGAATGTAAGTTCATAGCACTGAACGGGGGTCCTGGTGGCAGGCCCGCTCAGGCACACAGACTCTCCTTCCTTTCTTTTTCAGTACAGGAGATAAAACCCAGAACTCCTTGCACATGCTAGGAAAGCACTCTACTGCTGAGCTATATCCCAGCCTTTCTTAGTTTTTATTTTGAGACATGGCCTGCCTAAGTTGTGCATACTTGCCTTGAACTTGTGATCCTCCTGCCCCAGGCTCTCAAGTGGCTGGAATGGCAGGTGTGTGCCACTGTGCCCAGTGCAGAATCTCATTTCTCTGCCCAAACATCTGGCGTATGCAACTTGGCAAGAGCCTAATCAGAGGCATAAACAACACAGGCTCCAGACTGACATGGCTCCAAGCACCACCTAATAGCTGTGGGATCTTGGAAAGCCTCAACTTTTCTGAGTTTCAGATTCTCCACCTGTAAGTGAAGACACTTAAGACCTCACAGAGATATTGTAAGGAGAGCGCAAAGGTCACCTTTGCACAATCTCAAAGCTATCCTGTTAGAAATGTTTCTACACGCAGTGGGAAGGTGGGGCTAAATGACTCCAGACATTTTCTGGCTCTAAGACTCAGTCCGCTGACAATAAACATTGAGCCAGCGTCCAGCGTCCAGTGTCCAATTAACTGCCTGGCCCCATTTTTGCCTCTCTCCTCAGACTCTTTCCCACTTATCCTCTGAGAAGCCTCTGTGAGTACTCAAGCACTATTCGAAATCACTGTCAGTCTGAGATTCCTCAGTTTTCCTCTGCTTCAGACATAGCTTATAACCTGCCAGACCTGGTGGCGCATACACAGAATCCCTGCGCTCAGGAGGCTGAGGCAGAAGGATCACCCAAGTTCAAGGCCAGCCTGAACTACGTATCAAGACCCTGTCTCAGATAAAACCAAACAAGAAGCCCTTTTCCGAAGCTTGGGAGTGAAGGGGCTTGCAAGTAACCAATGGGGCTTATGTGGGCTGAACCTGTGATGGGAGATGAGAATCAGGGAGGAAAAAGTGGGAGGCTGCCCCCTAGGGCTGGGTGATACAAGGAGCTAGGATCCCAGGTGGAGCTGTGGTCCTCGTGGGCTCTGGGACAAGGAGGGGGAATGTGAGTTTCCTAAGGGATGCAAGTTCCCGGGAGGAGGGGGATTCGGTCCGATGGACTCACAGAGAGGTCACTCCCCAGTGCACCTCCTCTGCGCCCCAGCAGTCCCCTTGGTGGCAAGGGATGGTTCCCTGAGTTACCTGCCAGAGGGTGTGGAGGCCAAGGCAGCTAAGGGTGAGCAGCAGAGCTTCCAGCATCCTTCCTGGAGGAACCTTGCACGATGAGGTCCTGGTGAGGGGGGAGTCCTGCAGCGGTGGGGTCCCAGCTTCGATGGGCTCAGCTTTCTTCCTGCTGCTTGAAGGGTCCTGGGTTCAGGTCCGACAGGCCAGGGCTGGCGTGGGCGTGGCCTGGGGCGTGGCCACGGGTTTTATTGTCCAGAGCACAAACCTGACTCTCAGCAGGCGACCCCAGCCCAGAACCCCCGGCCCCGGGATGTTTTGCCGACGGGAAAAGGGGGCGTCGTAGGGCTCCGCCTGGAATGCGGACCCGGGACCGAGGACCCACCTGGAGGTTGTGAAGCCGAACCGGCAGGAACGTTGGTGCTTGTGGCGGGCGCGGCGCTCTCCACGGATTGCCACACAAAGTCCCCGCGGCTAACTATAGCCCCAGGGCGGTAACCCGACACCCGCCGCCCAACAACAGACGCGGGCGTGGGGAGCGGGAGTGGCGGAGTGAGGGGCTGGGTGTGAAACTCCCCTGCCAAGGACGGTGGGCTCCTCCTCCTGGACCCTCGCGGCTCCGCGAGGCCAGGTTCAGGGAGGAACTTGAGAGACTGCCTCCCCGGGGCCCTGACCCGGCCCGCCCGGACCCCGGACCCCACTGCTGGGCAGCCGCGCGAGGGTCGCCCCGCGGAGCCGCCGCTCTCCAGAAGGGCCACGCGTGCGCTCGCTTATTTGCATACGATTTGCATGTGGCCCGCGAGTTGGGTTACGCACTCGGCGAAGGCACAGCCCCTGTTGCCCGCCCTCCTCTTCATCCTATGCACCTCGGGTAAATCGGGTATAGAGTTCTAGCCTGGGGTCTCAGGGCCCATCCCAGCCCCCTCCCCAAACCTCGCTGTGATCTCACACTCTGGTAACCCCATGTTTGTAAACACTAGCTTCCTGTCCCCGCTCCACTGGACCAGGTTATAAATAACCTGGCGCTGAATTTTGGAGGCCCAATTAGGGGTAACTGGAGAAGGGGACTGCAGAGGAATCAGTAGGTGGCCGGGGCGGAGCTTCCCGCCGGAGCCTGGAGGAGGGGTGTCCTTCCCCAGCAGGAGGGCTCCTGAATGTCAGGATCCCCGAGATACTGCCTGCGGGGCGAGGCTGGGCCTGGCAGGCTAGACATATCCAAAGAACTCCGTCCTGGTCCCCATCTCTTCTGTGTCAGACAAAGTTTCCTTCGCCCAGAAGCCTGTTTCATTTGTTTGTTTTATTCTTTTCGCCAAAACCCTTCCAGAAGACAAAAAAAGAAGAGGAAATGTGTCCCAAGACAGAGTGTGGAGGAGGATGCTGCAAAAGAGTGGCTTCCCCTAGAGTGCAAGACAAGTCCTAGACCAGCCAGCCAGGACTCACTCTCCTGATCACGGTGCTTGGGGAAAAACCGCACCTCACCTACACATCCTGCCTACCCCTCTCCCTAGCGAGACCTGAGAGTTTAAGGTTGTGGGGACAGGAGCTACAGTGAAGGACAGCTGGCCCTGCTGGGACAACCCCTGGAGCCAGACTAAAGGGGTGGAGCAGGGACACAGGCATAGTCCTCTGCCCTCTGGCTTTGGGGATTGTGTTCCCCATCCTAGGACTGGCAACCCCCACAAAGCCCCAAGAGATAGTCAAATATAGTCCTGGGGCAGGGCGGATCAATCTGGGACACAGGCAAGTCACAGCTGGAGCTGGAGATAGAGTCCCGGCCCCTTAGTCCAAATCTCTCTTTGCACCTCAAATGAGTCTCAATGCTCACAAGGAAGACGCAAATGTAAGGAGATGGTCCTGGGGCCAGGGGTGCTACAGCCACCTCTCTTTTCTCTCCTGGGCTGACCAAAGGGAGGACTCAACCTGCTGGGGAGGATGTAGTTGTCCCAGCAGGGATCTGCCAGGCCTCAGCCCACCTTCTCTCAGGCAATAGGGCTTTTTCTTTTTTCATGGGGAGAGCATAGGCCCTGGTCAGACTGGGCAGAGGCTAGTGCTCTGAAGTGTTGAGGAAACATCCAGAAATAGATGGGGGAGTGTCACATTTCTGAGCAGCTGTGTGGGGGAGGTAAAGGGGTAGAGAGTTGACAGTATAAAGGAGGAACCTGTCCTCACCCTTCCCTGGTGACCGTTGCAGAGACCAACACCAGCTTCCCCACCCTGGAGAAAGCCTAGGTAAGGGGCTTGCCACCCTCCTCCTGGATGAGGGGCAGGAAGAAGGTTTTTTGAGGGAATTAATGGGCTTTTAGGAGTCATAAAGAAAAGTTTAAAATTTGATGGAGAGGTCTGGGATACCTAGGAAGGTTTGGGGACATGGAAAATTTGGGGGCTCTTGGGGAGAGATTCAGGATCACATTCTCAAAAGAGAATGCTCAAGCTGGCCATAGTGGTTAAGACCTGTAATCCCAGTACTTGGGAGGCTGAGGCAGGATGGCCTGAACTGCATAGCGAGACCCTGTCTCAAAAAGACAAAAGAGAGGGCTGAGGAGATAGTTTGGCAATGTAAGCACCTGTCTGGCAAGTGCAAGGTCCCAAGTTTAGTCCTCTGTACCACATGCTGTGATGGCCCCAGAAAGTTGGGCAAGCCATATTGGCCACCCAAACCAGGCATGGTGACTCACACCTGTGATCCCAGTGCTGGGGAGGCTGAAACAGGAGGATCACTACAGGTCTGAACTGTGTAGTGACACCCTGTATCAAAAAAAGAGAAAAACAGTGAGAGAGAGAGAGAGAGAGAGAGAGAGAGAGAGAGAGAGAGAGAGATCGGAAGGGGTCTGGAAGAGGAGAAATGACAAGAGAATTGCACTGAGTAAGATGAAAGGAAGGACAGAGAAAGGGCAGAAACCTTGATCTGCCATGTCAGCTGGGCCCAGAAGGCCTCCCAGACTCGGCAAAGATTCTGGGGGTGCTCATCTGTGCCTGCCCTGGGCTGAGCCCTGAGGATACAGGATGGAATCAAATGTGTCCCTGGCCTCAAGGAACTCATGGGCCAGGAGGGGAGATGGGACACACACAACGGCAGTGACAGAGGACAGCAGAGGGTGTGCAAGTGCAAGGAGTCAGAGGGCTTCTTGAAGGGGCCACCCTGGGCTAAGCCTTGAAGAGCAGGCAGCCAGGAGAAAGGCTGCCCAAGTTGGGGGGGAACAGCAGAGCCCCATGTGGAGCTTTGTTCCATACCAGAGAGGCCAAACTCGGTTGGTGGAGCGCTAGGCTAAGGGGTCCACAGAGGCCTCAAAGACCAGGCTGAAGAGGTTGGATAGAACAAGCTGTCCAGGTCCTTGTTCTGGCCCAGGAATTGGCCCAGAAAGTTTATATCTGTAATTCCATGGAAACGTTTCTGGTATTCTAGTGAGTTAATTTCAACCTGCCACCTCCGTGCAACCAATGGTGAGAATAAAGACACTAAGGTGTATTTGTAGTTCCCGGAGCGAAGGGGTACAAAGTCCAGGCATGACAATGGCTGACTGGAACAAAGGCCTGGACCCAGGCTTGATTCACCCACGAAGAAAGGAGCAGCTTGAGATGAGTGACTGTGAGGGTGGTGAGAAGTAGGTGAGTGCTGTGAGCTGGATTATGTAGGGGACCTGAAGTCACCTCCGCAATATGCAGAGAGAAGGATATGCCGAAAGAGTAATCTGCATAATATAACTGAAATAGTATCTAATGTTTTAGGGTCGGTGCTTCAGCTCTGATGTGTGATCTTTTATGCTCTGGGAGGTCATAGCCTCTGGAGGCTCAATCCTAGCCAACGGAGTGCTACCTCACCTCAGCTCATGTTTTATTTGGGAGCTACTTGGGGCTGGGTAAACACCACCCTGTCATCTTTGCTCCAGCGCCTCAGCTGGACTGATATGCATTGCTTAAGGCCAATTAAAGGGATAAGGAAAAGTCCTAGCCACCGCTGCACACATCAGTAATGGAAATAGGGCCAGGTTCAGTCAAAATGGAGACACTTGCTCCTCCCTCAGTCACCACAGTTGGACTCTGTCCTAAGGGTTCTTCTGCTTTCTAAAAAAGCATTATACATTTTTAGTGTGTATTCTGAAATATTTCTTCCAGTCAGTTTTAGCACAGAGTTTTCAATCAGGAAAGAAAAATGAAAACGACCAGAACTGAGCTTTAGGAACCGCTTTCCCCACTCTGCAGCCCTGATCTAACAGGGGTGACCGAAGCAGCACAGCTGGAGGAGGCTGTGCAAGCCAGAGCAGGACTAGGGGTGTGGGGTGAGCGGGGAAGGAGGAGCTTGAGGCATCCAGCACTCAGTGGCAGCTACAGTAATGTTTGATCAATGACTGAATAACAGGCACCCAGATGACCACCATGGGTGACTGGGTCCTCTTGCGGGGATGACATGTTACATGAGGCCCTTCTGATGGTAAGTGAATAGGAACTACCCCAAGCTAGATTAAGCCTTGAGGTTTTTGTTTGCTTTTTTTTTGGTACAGGGTCTACAGGGTCTCACTAAGTTACTCACATTTATAATGATCAGCCTGTGTCCAGCCTCCTAAGAGCTGGGATTACAGGCATGTGCCACCATGTCCAGTCTCAACTGCAGGCTCAGTGTGCCACAAGGGCAGGGCCGGCACAGCAGGCCAGGATCAAATCCTGGCCACTGCATCTGCCTAAGCAGGTGCTTTAAACCACTAAACTATTTGGCTGGCCCTTGTTTGCTTTTTTAAAATTGAGACAAGGTCTCACTCTGTAGTCCGGTTGGTCTTGAACTCACTGCAGCCCAGGCTGGCTTTCAACTTGTGGTCATCCTCCTGTCTTAGCCTCCCCAGCGCTGCTGATATTATAGGCTTGTGCTACCACTCCAGCTTTCAAAGAAAATTTATCACAATGACACCAGGGCATTTCCCAGAGTCCAAAGGCCAGAAGCAAAGAGCTCTTTGTAACCCAAGGAATATGCTGGCTCCATGTGAGGTTTGACTTCGCTTACTCCTACTCTTGTCTTTCCTCTTTCCCTGGGCATCTTGTCCCTGCTCTGACTTCAATATGCCAACCCTTCTCATTACCCATCTGCTACCTCTTGAGCATCTGCCCCTGGAGAGTTAACCTTTGCCAAAGTGAGCTCACCATTTCACCTCTGAGCCTGACCGTTCATTCAATGCTTTTTTTAAAAATTTGTGTGTCTGATTCATTGCACTTAAAAATCATGGTCTTGAGCTCCATCCATTTACCTAAAAATGTATGCTTCTTTATGGCAGAGTGGAGTAGTACTTCACTGAGTATAAACCCATTTGCTTTGTCCATGTATCTGTTACTGGGCCTCTGGGCTGCTTCTGTGATTTAGCTGTTAAAAACTGTGCTGCTATCAACAAGAGCAGGCATATAGCACTGTGGTATGATGCTTTTAACCCTTTTGGAAAGATAGCTAGAAGGGCAACAATTAGGTCAAATGGAACCCCTAGTTTTAGTGTCTGGAGAATTCTCCATATT